AAATTAAACTTTCCTGTCTCACACAGCTCAGTTAAAATATGACTTTCTCTGATACTTTCTCTCCTTTCATTCTTGACTTGGAGATCATAAGACCTTCGAGATTTCCAGCAAAAATCTCTGTGCTGGGTTCATCCCAATATGACCCTAAAAATTTACATTATATTGCTGTTCTGAGCAAAGTCTTAAAAAACATCTTTTAATCAACTAATCCCATTGCTATCACCCATATAAACCAATGAGAAGCAAAAGACATTACTGCAGAACCCTGTAAGCTCTCCTTTTCCTAGAGGGATTGAATGTGTATCCTTCACACCTCATTGAAGGACTTGGCTACATAATAATTGTGTTCACAGTTGATCACCATGCAGTTAGATTGCAAAGAAAAATAATTCTTAGATTTGCAGCAGATCCCCCAGCATGCTGTAGGTATACACACTATTTCTGTAAACACTGAAAAATGGAAACTATCCTCCAACATCACTGAATTTAATAGCAACTTGCCAATTTTGCAATTTTTTTTTCCCCTTTCTTTTTCCATAAGTAAGTTTTGCTTGTGGAGAAATAAGAAACCATTGGTATTTAGTGAAGGGCAGCCAAACACTGCAGAGTTGATCATGGCCAAATGAATGTATTGCTTTATTTAATCCTACTGAAGCTACACCAAAGCCTTTTCACTGTTTATCAAAGTACCCTGACACAATGAAGGCTCATTTCTCTCCAGAGGTTTAGTATGAATATCTCTTTGGGCAACTGTAAAGTAGGATTTCTAAGTAAAAAAAAATAAAATAAAAGTCATCCCTGCCTAGTACAGCATCCCAGGAGTTGCAAAAAACCTACTTTCCAGAGGAAAGAGCTTCATACTGCATAGCCTGGAAACATGGCTATTCAAAGTTAACCCTTTGAACACAAAATCCAAGCAGCTAAAAAACCCCTAAGTCCTGAATTTTACAGATGCTTTGACATAACTAAGAAACAGAGTTTGTGGCTTGCATTTAAAAGTGGAACTTTTAAATAGTAAAATAAAAGCAAAGCCAAAGAAGTTCCAACTTAGAAAATATGCCCTTAAGATACCACATAATTGTGAAGAAGAACTGTAAAGCCAGTGATCAGAAAACCAGCAATGGTCATCTTAAAAGAATCTATTTTGGCTTTCTTTTTTCTGTGAGCTACAATCTAGGAATTGATCTTCAAATTCAGATCTCATTGGCATATCTGAAAAATGTTGATAATTTCTGTCACCATATTAGATCCAAATCTGGATGTTCTTTTTCCCTTTCCATTGTGCTGCCCAATTTCTTTAGGCCCATCCTCTGAATATCTCTGAATACCTCTTCAGCCTCCATGAGGCAAACCAAGAATAACATGGCAGTAGTTGTGGAAACACATACAAATATAATATTATTAAGCAGTGTGAAACTCTGAAATAGGATTAATGACAAGAGTGTGAAAGTTCCTCTTTAAATGGGCCATTTTTAAATTTATTTTTTTGGTGAAGTTTAAGCTTAAAGCCTCAGTGAGATCATGAGATGAATTAATTGCAAAGCAAGAATAATCTTAGCATTAGACTTTAGTGGAATATCAGGAATTGATGTTCTAATTCTAGAGATCTGGGAACATGAAGTCTTAAATCTTACAGCCAGTTATAATTGCACTAAAATATCATAAAGAACAGTGTGAACAGAGAGAGCTGTTCCATGTATCTGTGCATTGGTGTCCAAGAGAGAAAGATGAAAGAAGATCTGCAGCACAAAGATGAACATGAATGGAACAGTGATATGGATACAGGTTCTTGCATTGACTTGCCAAATAAAAATAAAATTTAATTCCCTATGATCAATGGAAAAGCACAAAAGTGTTCATCTGAAAAAAAGATCTAACTACATAATTGGGAAATTATTTATGATTCTGTGCATACTTACATTATTTTGACATCTAAGAAACTGCAAGACTTCATAGGAATCAACAAAAATCCACACTACCATGCTTCATTTAGCAAATATGAATTTAGATAAATTTTAGAGAAAGTTCATATATTCTTCACTAAAGCTGGATATATTAGACCTCATACTTCTGCTAAATCTATACTAAGAATAATGCAAATAATTAAATAAATAGAGACAAAACTGCATCAGCAGTAATTTTTATACACTGTAAAGGTGAAAATTAAAAAAAATAAAAATTGTTTATAATCTTTAACGGGACATTTTTATAAACTTGGAAACAAAGCTAGCTCTAATGGTTTACAGAATTTATTGGAAGATTCTTACTACCCCTGATACAGTAGTGCTGAAGAAAGTGCTGAAAAATTTTCAAAACATACAAAACACATTCTTAAGAAGGAAGACTAGTATGAACTCATTGGCATGAAAACTCATCTATTTCTAGGTCTCTCCTCTAAGATTCAGTACCCCATAGGGTATTAGAGCTAGTCAAATGACAAGTCCCAGAAGCCTTATTCTCCTGCTATATGTCCCAAGAATCCCAGCAGAGCTGTAAAACTTTAAAGAACTGTGGAAAATTCATAGAGATTGAAGACAGACTTACAGACGTTTGGGTCCAGACTAGAATACGCTCATGATGCAGTCTTTGCAGGGTTATTTATTTGGCTATCTTTTGCTCAAACATACACAAAATATGTAAATGTAAACAATATGACTGCCATCTAATGAAACAATTCTTACTACCTTTTGAGCAGAAAGAGCAAAAGTAATTGACATTTTACATTACTTGATTCTCTAGAAGATTTCCAGATACCACATTATTTGTATGGCAAACTGAGAAGCAAATAAAATTGTTCTGAAGTGTACTAAGTGTTTTAGTCACATACAGTCCATTTTCCTGGAACAAATAGTATTTATTATGTATTAAACACAGACAAGTAATTGGCAAGCCTGCATAAACATCTTTGTACTCACAGTGCCAGGTCGCGGGTACGGAATTCTGCCCTGATATGGAATCAGCTGGTGGTTTGGGCCCTCCTTGTGTGCAAACGGCCCATTGAACACAGTCTGTATGTCAGATAGATGATATACACACACAGCTGAGCCTTTAAATATGGAGCTGGAAGACCGAGGGAAAAAAGTTAATATTGCAACCTACCAAGTTTTGTATAGCTTTTCCATGATTTTGCATGGTCCTGTAATGCAAGATACCTCTAAAAGAATATATTTAATACTATTTGATGCTTCTATAGCATGGATTGAATACATTTGAAATAAATTCATTTCTTTTCCCAATATACATATTTTCTCCTTAAGACCTAGCACCTTTCTGAAGAGTCAACTGAAGAAAGAGAGAAGGTACTGCTGGTGGAGTAAGAAAATTTCCTAATGTTGAATGCAAAAGAAGTGTAATCTGGTCGCAGTTATATCAATGGCAAAAATATTGCTGACTTCAGTGAGACAGGAGTTTTATAAACTTTGTAATGCCAAGCTCAGCACAGGTTTCCAGAATTCCCTACCACTATGTTAACCGCAAGAACTCCATGAGCCTCCTCAAATACACAGCTAAAATATTAATCAAAACATCCAGTACAATTGCAGTTGGTTAGATCACTACAATCATTTGCCAGTTTTTCTAAGCAAAATAGGGACAGGTTGTGGCTGTAAAGGAAATACTCCTATACTGTCCTCAATTCCACCCACAGAACTGATACTAGAAATACTCCTTCAAAAGACCTGAAGTTTGATGCTCCTGAGGGGAGCTGGGTAGGTCATCTATGAGAAGGGCATGTTTTTCCACTGCTCTGGGTTCAGCAACAGTCTCAGAAGTTTCCTCAGCTAGAACAAGCCCTGAATGGCTCCCATTATCCCGTGATGATGGAGGGCACTAGGGGAAGAATTTCCAGATTGATGCTAAGGCTGACTGGAATGAATTAATTCCCCTCACCCTCCCTCCCCTCCACTGCATATAACGTTTGGGATATTTATCCTAAGCACGTGGAAAATCCAGACAGTCTGAAATCTGTCTGATGTTAACTGTAGGATGAAGATAATCCAAATAACCCTCTGTTCTCAATTGAAAAACAAAAACAAAACCAAAAACCCACACTCCTGAAAAAACCTGAAAACAATACACATAGTATCTAAAAAAGGAAAGCACAATCCACATTGCTCTCAGCTATATATGGATTAGCAGAAGGAACCTTTTAGATGGATTTTGTGGAAATTTTAGTAGGTATTAATAAGTTTTGAGAAATGCACTTAATCTTTCCATATGTTCTACGTTAGATTTACAGCAGGTTATGCCACCAAAAATAATTTGCTTCTCTATGGTTTAGATAGAAGTACCCATAGTTATTACTCAGTGGGATGTTTCTCTCTTGCTACTGTTATGAGTTGGAAGACTACAGAGGTGAAGAAAATGGAACTGCTAAGGAGTAAAATCATTATGATTGCTGTATTTAACTAGGTAACATATCCAATAGTCAAACAAAGAGCAAGTAAGCACAGACCATGTGGTTCATGATAAAAGAAACACGAGTGTAAAAAAATCAATAGAGAAAATAACTGGAGAGCCAGGAAAAAGTGAATTTTTGTCCTTGTTGTTAACTTATATGGTCCTGTGATTTAAACCTCATTTCCACTGCAGTAATACCAGGAGAATTATGTAAAAGTATTTCCAGCTCAGGCACGTTGCATCCACAACCTAATCGTAAGTGTGGTTCCACTGCTAAGCATAACCTCAGCATTTTCTCCTTCTGTGCAGTTGAAATCATAAAATGTAGACAGGGCCAGATGTTTACAAGCTATGGGATTTTTTTTTTTCCCAATTAAATATCATAAAATCCTATTTTCCTGGCTGGTTTACATATTTGAGAAAGCCGAACCCTGGATCCACATGAAAAAACACAGCAAAGTACATTGGGAAATAATATTTTTTCATGCAAGGATTTTTTTTACTAGAAATTGCTATTAAAGAAATTACTAGTAATAAGTTATATAATTTTCTAATTTGATCAAATAAATTAAATGAAATTTAAAAATAAGCAAAAGTCTTTGCAGTGATGTAATAATAGCTAAATAATACAGAATAGCATGTCAGAAACCAGGAAGCAGTGATTATTTTTACTCTGTATACCAAAACTATGTGGTGAGGGCAAGAGAAAAGTGAAAACAATAAAGGTAGAGATAGCAGAACTTGTTGGTCTATCTGTTGCTCTATTTTTGCAGACCTTCAGCACAGTAAGACACATATAACACTTTCACTACCTTTGGGAGCTCACTGAATGTTTTCTAAACTGGACAGTGAGTGAATACTGCTGACTGATAACAGTCAGTTAAGGCTGCAAGGAGGTGACCAAATGCCACACAAGCTTGTCTTTTTGTAGCCAACTGAAGCTGACACGGGTTATTTGCCATCTGTGCGATCATCTGTGAGCTGAGAGTCTGGAAATGATTTGTATGAATTCATGTAAGAATTCCTGGTTTGATCCTTCAGGCTGCTGTATGTCCTTCAGGAGGTGTTAAGTACTCTCAGATGCCACATGAGTTCACTGCACTGAACCTCTTTAGCTTTCCTCTGCTGAATGGTAACAAGTGACCCTTCACAGAAACGTTTTCCCAGTGCCAGCTGACAGTATGTCAGGGAGCAGTTTGCTCCAAGCAGCACAGCAGCACAGCTCCAACATGGATACCAACAATAGTGATACTGAGACTGTGTGCAAACAGTGGCTGCAGGAGACATACAAAATTGCACAGAAGAGCCTTAACCACAAACCATCACTTTTAGTTTTCCTATAGGGAACCTGGCAGTTCAGAAAGGCTTGTTGGTTTATTTATTTTTGGTTTCAAATCTCTCAATTTACCTTGATGTTGTAAAAACTCCATACACAAGTGTTGTTCTGGGGTTATCTGTCTCTAAAAGAAACACATCCTCTGTAAGAAAGAAAAGGAAAAAGAAAAAACATTTTTAATATTAATAAAAACTTTATTTTCCAGTGTAATTTATGTCTTCATTCCTGC